TTGTTGTTGTTGTTGTTGTTGTTGTTGTTGTTGTTGTTGTTGTTGTTGTGTCATTTTGTTTCTGTTGTTTCTGTTGTTTCTTCTTTATTGCGTTTGTTCTTGTTGGAAAGAGGCATAGCCTTTGGGGGTGTGAGTTTTGGAGGAAGGTTCAGGGTACTTGAAGCAAAACAAGCCACATGTTCAACGTAATTAGACCTGTCCAGGATTTTAGTGTCGTCAGTGGTCAGAGCATTCGCTGATTCAATGTTCTTGGGATGCTTCGGGTATTGTTTTGAACCGTCTTTGACTCAGTGTTTCGCATGAATTTTGTTGCCTGAAAGTGCATCCTCCCATTCACACGCATGGAAGTGGAACATGGAGCCTGGGCTCTTCCATGTCCTGAACCGAGGAGTCCCTGGAGAAGGGCATCGCTTTGGCGGAAGCTGCCCAGAAGCTCGGCAGGGCACGGGTGTTTTCTAAAAACATGGGAGACGGTTGCAGCGTATGGTTCCGCTCGTAGCGTCCTTGCTCTCTCCGTTCGTAGCGATGCCCTTTGTTCCGTTCGTAGCTTCTTGCCACATGGATGTCGGCGACTTGTTCATCCACTCCTTGTGAGTAGCGAAGCCGACGGCGATACGCCGGTGACGAGCATGCGGACAGTTGTCCGGACCCATCGCAGCGGTTGAAATCGAACGTCGCAGGTCAAATGGCTCAAGCGCATCAACAAACCATTGAGGCAATTGCTGTAACGGGTTTCCAGCAGGCTGTACATCAAAAACATGAGCCCTAACCTTGAGCCCTATACCTTGCACTCCCTGAAATAATCATGGAAGTGGGAAATAGGTGGCTTGGAGAATTTGTGTCTACAAACAGGCGGTCTTCCCTTTATTTGTACTCTTAAGTCTTGTGTTTCATGCACTTTGTTGATATCTTCATTCATTTGGGTGTCAGTGATGATGATGTCCTCACCCGTTCCCATGGTTGATTCCCACAGTCGAAGATCACCAAGCTCAGACCAGATCAGTCACCGGAACGGACCAGATCAGCCACCTGAGGGTCAAGGCGCCCAGTTGGGTGCGCCCGGCCAAACGTCGAGATGGCCAAGAGTGGGTGGCCCATTTGCCTGACGACGGAGTGTTGCTCTCGCCGAAGGTGGAGGTCTTTCGCCACCTGGATGACCTGGATGACCATCCTGGGGTGATTTGGAGGTGGGAGGGCTCCAAGATTGACACCCTGACAACATGGAGCATGGTGGAGGGTGTGGAAGGAGCAAAGATGGAATTGATTCTGCGTGATTCCTGCATCTGCATTTAGGACAAGCTGCAGTGACAGGGTTATGTACTTTGTTGCCAAACCCTGGCAACACAGTGAGGACCCCTCAAGCACGAACTGAACTACCAAATACCAAATGCTACTCTTGGCAGATTTCACTGATTTCACTCAAGTGCTGCAGTCAATCATCTCTTTGTGTACATAAAGATGAATGGAGAGAGGATGCTTTGGGCACTAGGTTTGAACCACCTTGGGAACAAATCCTGCACTGGTTCAAAGGTTCAAACACATCGTATTTCACGTGTCTCAAAGTACCCACTAGTACCCACCAGGCTCCAGAGATCTCCAAACCTCAAGTTCACCAGTGACTCCGCTTTCAAGTTCACGTCCTTTTTTGGCCCATGTTCCCGAACTAAAAGGCTCTGAATGCTTCCCGCCCTGCCACTTCGCTTTTTTTCAGGTCAGGGCACCAACGAGGGCTACACCTTCCGGGACCAAGTCACGCTGCTCAGCGCCGTGGTCTCGGTGGCCATGCCCAACCGCAATGAGAAGATGAACGACTCGCCGGTGGACGCCCACCCCGAACCCGAAGGCGGCGAGATCGCCGTGGAATAGCGGGGTGTGCGTGTGTGTTTTTTCTTTTTGTTTGGCAGGAGTGATGTGAAGCCATTGATGTGTTGAAGTTGTTGTCGTTTTTGTTGGTTGGTTTGTTCCGGAGCCGTTGGGAAGCGACAGATCCGCTTAACATCAATCAACATGTGGGATGATAGTAAGTAGGTGGCCCATAACTGTAACCGATTCTGGTTCAAGATTTGAAGCAGGCCCCGCTGGGCAGTGGTCATACACGGAGTTCATGAGGCTTTTGTCAGCTTCCGAGGTAGGCAAGCTAAGCAGAATCAAATGCTGAAGTGATCGATTCGCCAGCAATACAGACACGTTCGTTAGGTTTAGGTTCCTATTTAAGGCATACAAATTGGGTACCTATTCATGATGTGACTTTTTCCACCACCGCTGCAAAAACTGCCAGGTTACAGGCAACAGCTGGACCGGAAGTGGCTGGCCGTGCTGAAGGCCGCCGCCTGCAACCCTGAGGTGACCTCCCTGGTGGTCCCAGATGCTGGCTGTGGCCACATGGATCAATGGGTGCATGTCGCGGCTCTTCAGTCGTTGCACCCCCCACCCTCCAGGATGGAAGCGAACGGAACAAAGGTCATCGCTACGAACCTAGCATTCTTACTGCTAGGAACAAGAAGCTACTAGGGGCTCCTGGCCTTACTAGGAACAACGGACGCTACTAGGAGCTTCACTCCAGCATGGAAGCAGTGCTACGAAGTTCATCAAGTTTCTTTCAGCAGGCGCCAGCTTTCCCACACGGAGCTCCTACATCCAAACTTCTTTATCTTCGGAAGCACCGCCCACCCGCGCGTGCCGCCGTTTTAAGGCGTCTTCTACAACAGCCCCGACGAGGTAGGTGCCAGCTTCGGCCGGGCCCTGCGGGACTTTCGTGGCCGCTTCCGGCGGGTGATCATCGCCTTCCCGGGGGGTAAGGCCGGCTCCCGTAGCGTCGAAGGGTGTGAAGAACGCGTTTCTGTTTTTTTCTAGTGTGGTTTATCGTGTTTTCTTTACCCCAGCCGTGTTCAGTCGCGTCGTGTTTTTTGGGGTTGTTGGGTCAGAGGGATCAAGAGCTGGAAGAGGTGGGGGTGGCGCGAAATTGGCCAATCATGGAGGTTTGAGGTGGATAAATATCTATGTAATATAATATGTATGTCATGTATGTTATTAGCATTTATTAGCCATCTATTCTTTAATGAAAGCTTGAATCCTGAAGTCCAAGATGAGTTTGAACAACTTGTGCACACTGACAGAGCGAAGAGCACTTGTAGAACACGATTCAGCTTTAAATCCATATTTTTTTGGCTGCCCCTGTCCGCTTCCAGACCAGGCAGGCATAGCTTTTGCTGCTGCTGCAGAGGAGGCCTTTGCGTAGCTGCACGCCGCTGCACGTAGCGTGGTTTCCCTGAGGGACACGCCGTCGTGCTGAATCGTGCTAACGCGCAATGAGGCTCATGAGTTCGTTGGCAATGTTGTTACAGCGGTTGCAGAGTAGAGCCCCAAAAGGTGATTTACTATATGGACCCCCATTTAAGGGACGTCATGGGGTTTGTGCCATCTACTCTGAAACCACTGTATAATTTGGAGGTTCACCCCCAATTCATCGATGACACCAACGGGGATGCCGCGCCCAGCCAAGGACGCACGGGTGTTCCTTCGTTTGAACCATCGTCTCTTGCAGTTGGTGACTTGGTGTTCACTTGAGGTTCGGTGGGTTGAATGTAATACATTCAATGCGGGAAGGCTGCACGTTAAAAAGAGGTATGTTGGCTTGGTTAGTTTAGCAGGCATCACTTGGCTCATTGGGTATAGAACATGTGATTCTTGCAAGTAAGCATGACCCGGATCTAGATTCCAATAGTTTCTGGATGGCTAATGTAGACGAGGACAGTAGAAAGGGTGTAATTTAAGTTTCTGGCTGCACTTGTGCCATGTTCCCCTTTTCGCAGGAGCAAGCAGAAGCTGTTTGCATGCCCGCTGGATAGACGAAAAATAAAAAAACATGTTTGTTTGAATAAAAGCAATTAGGCTATTTCTCTCGTGAGACTGTGAGACAGCAACTTTCACAACGTGCACATGATCTCTAAGACATCCATCGATGGCGGATGGAAGACGCACGGGCCTCGTGCAGTTGGAAGATGCGTTTCTCAAATCCCCAGCAGAGTGGGGTCACTCAATCCTCAGCTGCCCGCTCTGCAGGGCTCTCCGATGCACCCAATCCCCAGCAGAGACGTCGGCCGGCAGTGCGGCTCCAGCTGGTGAGTGATTCGTCAAGAAAGTGTCATCAACAATCTCTATAGCATCCTACCTGGTTCCATGCCATGAGTTTTGGCTGAGGGCTGAGGTATACATATTATATGTGTTTAATTCTGTTTGTTTGTTTTTTTGCATGGCACAATTAGCTTTTGCTTGCATCTTCCCAAAAGGATTCATAGAGGTGCAAGGACGGAAGGAGGCTCACTGTGGTCGCTGGTGCGCTGGTGCATCGGTCGTTTAGTGGAGGCGCCAGTGCCGCCAGTGCCCCATCTCAAAGAGATGCGGCACTTTTGCAAAGGATGGAAAATGGATCGGGCCACTCCTTAAGGTCCTTAAGCCTTTTTGTGTGGTTCCGTTACTTTGACCCCCCTGACAGCCCGACAGGGGTGCCTCTTGCTCTTTGCATCTCTTTGCCTTTTGAGGGTTGCAACCTTTCTAGGTGTTCTCAGAGTCCCCTGAATGATTTCAGGCGCTCTTCCTAATTGCTCATGTCCCAGTCGCTTTGTCCCAGGTCATCGGGTCGCAGAGTATAGCAAATACCCGAGTGCTCAAAAAGGGGAGATGCCTTTCCAAATTGTGGGTGTTCCGCTTCATGTTTGTCAGAAGATCTTTCGCCAAATCCTGTATTGACATGCAGGTGCAAGGCAGTGAAGGTACTGCAACACGTTTACTGACGGCATGCCAAAGATGTAAGGTCCCCTACCTGGTCCAACCGGATCTACCAGTTTCTGTCTTTCATGCTGTAGCGGTAGTCGTGTCATCTACTAGACACAATAACACCACGTGGATCCACATGATACACCAGGTTTGGAATTCTAGGAACTTGTCCGAGGTAAAAATTGAAAGGACCTTGACCTTGAACTCCGAAAAAAACGGGCGGTGGCATTCACTTCAGCGTCCCAACCAATCCACTGCCAGGGAGAAGGAAAAGCCTGACCGAGCGAAAGAGGTGGCCGTGGCCGACGCTCGGTTACCGCGTTGGTTTTTTCCAGATGGAGTTGGAGGCAAATATCCGTACACAGTACAGACCCGCAGTTGGAGCCCAAGTAGAATGGATGGTGTATATAGATGTGTATACTATATGTAAGTAGAAAAGGAAGGTGTATAGACACGTGTTCTGGAGTCGCAGAGAATTGCGATCCCGAAGTGGATTTACTTTCTGGCCACACCCAAATCCTGAACTTCCCCTGGGAAATTGACTCGTGCACGTATTCGATGTATTCGATGTATGCTTCTTCACCAACGACTCCGAGGGTCCCTCACTGAACGTCGTCCGCCGTTCAACCCAACGACTCCGCCGGCGTTTTTTTCCACCAAGGAGTCAGTCCTGAAGGATGTCGAGGCCAAATGGCGCGAACGGGCCGCCGCTTGGAGCAGATGGCGACGAGAAACACCGGGGTTAGGTGCCTAAAAGCGGTTTTGGTCAGGGCTGACTGTCGGTTGGAAGATGTTTGTTGTTTGTTGGAAGATGTTGTTTATTCTGTTTGATGTTTGTTGTTTGCTTGCTTGCTTGCTTGCTTGGTTGTTTGTTTGTTTGTTTGTTGTTTTGTTTGTTTGTTTGTTTGTTTTGTTGTTACTAAGGTTGGAAGTGTTCGACCAAGTTTTCGGCAAGATGTGCAGGAAAGACATGGGAAATCATGGGAAAACCACACAGGCTGTGAGGGGTCCGGGCGCATTCCAGGCAAAGGCTGATAAAATGAATCCACAATGTTGGAAGTGACAGCAAAGGACACGCCATTGACCTACACCAAGTGGCCAGTTTGTTTCACTTAACGTTCTAGGGGCTTCAACTGTCCCTAAGGTCATCAAGGTACAGGCGCGTGTCCGAGGGGCCCGGGCACCTCAGAGAAGAGGGGGGCCAAGGGTTTGGGCCAAGCAGATCAGCCCAGGTTTTGAGTTCGGTTGATCTGCTAACTATCCCTATCCCTATCAACCTATCCCTATCCAGGTTTTGAGTTTAGTGGGTTTGGATAGGTTTGGTGAATTGTTAACCCAAGGTTTGGAGTCCGAGGCTTGGGCTGCCCAGTATGTCGTCATGCATGCTGCATCCTAAGAAGCAGATCTATAATGATCTATATAACACATCTCCAAAGAAACATGATCGATCACTTTGGTGATTGCCCAGGCAGCTTGTGATTTGGTGAGCTGCCCAGGGTAGGACTGAGCCTTTTTTGTATCAGCGGCCACACTAGATTGAAAAGGGGCATCATGGTTGAATGTTGAGCAATGTTCGCTCCTGACAGGTCTGTTGAGTCTGTTGAGCCTTCAAGTGGGTTCAAGTCCTGCCCTTGAATTCAAGGCTCTTAATAGTTAGGAGGTCCAACCCCCCAAACTACTCTTTTGTGTAAGCCCACCGCACCTCCACTCACCACACCTGTGCAGATAGAGGCCGTTGATCCGAGGCTTTTGCCCGGAAGCGCTTCAGGGCTTTGGCGGCGCAGCGCGCGGAAGCCGCACGCGCCGCCGCGAGCAAGGACGGCACTCGGTGTGGTTGGGTGTGGTTCCCTTTTGGTTGTGTTTTTGTTGTCTGTATCGCAGTGAAGATCCAATGAAGCTACAAAGTGAAGACCACAGTTCCGTGTATAGTCTTGTGTACAACTACCGGTTGGGTCTATTTAATGGTCTATGTGACCCGTCTATGGAGCCCTGTGGAAGACGTGAGATTATTTTTCCAGTGAAGATGGTCGAGCTTGTGTGCCAGCAGTGCCTTGTTTTCTTCCGGCACCAGGTGCCAGGCGCCTTGTTTTCTTCCGGAAGAGAAGGTATGGAAAGAGCGATCTAAGAGGTGAAAAGAGGTCACTTCTTTTAAAATGCCTGGGGTCCCCAGAGTCCATGATCAACTTTCCGGGCCATGGCAACAAATAGTCCTCGGCCATGAAATTCGTCGTAGATGAGGCTTTGGTGCCAAAGACTTCCATATACAGTGGTGTCAGTAGTGGTCTCAGAGTAGGTGGCACAATCCCCCAATAGTGGAGCCCATATGGAGCCCAATATAAAAAATATCTTTGGGTTTGTGCCATCTACTCTGAAGCCACTGTAGCGCTTCTTCTTCGGATTTTTCCATTTCAAGACCACCTGGGGCCACCGAAAAGCGTACAGATCCTGGAGTGAACCATGCCATTGCCGGGTCTGGGATGCGGGATGTCCAGGTGCTCGGATTTTGGACACCAGAGGCGGTTAAAGAAAAACTGTGGACGTGGACGGCAGAAGAAGTGAGCTGGTTGTTCGTTTGGTCTTCCATGACCTTCCAAATATCCGTTGCTATGGCCTGATCAAACAGCAGTGGGTTGTGATATACAGTGGTTTCTAAATCCACGGGGAAAATCACCTCGAAAAATCCGGATGGTCGTCATGTCAGAGAGCCCAAAAGCGGTCTCCACTCGAATATACTCGAATTGGCGGCCACAAGTTCGCCACTTGTTCGCCGATAGATCCGATAGAGTTGGTCTCAAGTCCAGGATCTTGATTTTGATAGAGTTGGGGGCACGAAGATATCTGAGAAACAGTAGATAGATCTTGGTTGCGAGATATCAAAACCACGATATCTGGGATCTTAGCTGCAAGATCAGTAGCGAGATCAGTGTATTTGAGGGTTACTCCGGTTCGGCGCCAAGGGCAAGTTTGGCTCAAATGGCATCTCTTCGCCGGAAGCTTCAGGGCTCCACTACGTGCCAACCGTGGGATCGGCTTGGGCACCATGTGCTTTGGCCTGGTGCCCATGGCTGTTTGGCTTTCCACTTGGTGATGCTTGGATGGTTGCTTTTCCCTGCACTGAGCCTAGAGGATGCAACATCCACAAGTGATGATGCTAGCGAGAGTAGCCAGGGCGCCACAGGGGAGGGAGACCGCCAAAGCGGAGAACATCCCCCGGTCGCGTTGAGACTCTTCAGTCCAATTAGATCAACGTCACAGGAGGCCTTGAAAGCTGAAGTCATTGCAGCAGAGGCTGCACTAGCCATGCGGGCTGAGGTTGATGCTTTGCTTTACTTTGCTGTACAAACCTGATCTCTTTTTTTCAACTTCTTGAGCTTTAAGTTATATATTATGATATGTTATGTCGATTACTGTATAGTATATTGTATTATATGTTGATCTCCCCAAATCTGCGACAACTGATGTTCTATAATGATAATGATGTGCTTGTTCTTTTCCAGGCCATTCCCATTCTTTCGTCTCCTTCAGGATGGCCTTCCAGTGGTGTACGATTCCCCTGCGGTCTCCATCTCCTTGCGGAAAGTGGATCCCCAGACCTTGATCCAGTCGGGTGCGCACGTGGAGGCGCCCGATGGCGCCTCGATCCAGATCCCCGCCGATCCTCGGGTGAAGGGCCGGCACGGAGGGCCGGTGACCATTACGGTCACCAGCTACCATGCGGGGGATTCCATCAATAAGGACATGCCACGGATCAAGTATGGAGCCGAAGGCATACAGTTTCAGCCCCAAGAGTCGGACCATCGAAGCGAGCAGAACGCGTCGTCCAGCGAGAGCCGCAATGAGACGGTCAACAAGACAGATCGCGTGGATTTCTTCATGACCAGGACCAGTGTCAATTGGCGCGGGACGATCGATGTGAAAGTGCCAGGGCTGGCTGCTAACGTACCAGCACATGACCGGCCCCTGGGACCATGTTGATTGGGTTTGAGCGATTCTAATCCAGCTGCACAAACTCAGGAACTGGCAAACTCAGCAAAGGTCATTTAGGTATCTTAATTGGGATGTGGCTAGGTGATGCAGGATGTTTTTGTTGTCCTCTTACGATCCTTTTGCGTTGTCCATTACCCCGGACCGGACCATTTGGATCACACAAGATTCTATACAACCGTTAAAGATATCATATCTCTCCAATTGAACTGTACAACATGAGAGCCAGAAACTGTAGAGCATGCACCAACTTGTGCAAAGTGCAACAAGTGAACATCAGAAGCGCAAATGGCCCAAACCGTGGACCGGTGATGAAGCCGACCGCTTAAACTAGAACTGATTACAATTGTACCGCCGCTGAGAACCTCGGCACAAGCAGGCGACTGGGTGCCAAAAATGGCCGGTCTTGGCCCCCCCACGAGCTATTGAGTTATGATTGACCTCTCACAAGGTTTTGAAATGGCTTCTTCATGCTAAGAAGGCTTTCTAGAAAGTGATGGAAAATCCAAGGCCATGGACACCCTTCGGGGAGGATGAGCGCTATGCAGAAGACAAAGCATCTGTGCGCACGGAACTGGAGCGATTGGCGTCCTTGGAGCGCTCCGGCGAACGCTTGCGGGGATACCGAAAGCTGGCGATGCAATGGCATCCTGACAAGCATCCACCCGAGGAACGAGCGAAGGCCACAGAAGTCTTTGAGTGACGTGACATGAGAACGAGTGGTGGGTCGGTGGGTGGTGAGAAGTCGGTGTGTTTGAGACATGTTGAACCCCTAAGATTTCTATTGCAAGTGATGATCCTAACAGGCCATCAGCTATAACGTCTATAGTTAATTGCATCAGTCATAGAGTTGTAGTCCTTTTTCCGTCCTTTTCCCCCACGAACCGTTGTTGGTTGATCCCATCAACGTTATCACTCCAGGTATTTGCAGGAGCTTCGCTTGGCACTTGGCCTCTCCACCCGCAGCGATGAGAGCTGAATTCACACACCCAAGCACCACCTGGTGGATATCATCAAAAGCGATTTGCCACGATCATGATGCCCAGCACCTTCAGAAAAAGAGCCCCCCAGTCCACGACCTGCGTCGAGACGCGGGGGGACGCGACGCTGCTTCCACGGACGTGATGGGAGGATACCGCGGGAGGGCAGAAGATGCCCAGGGATGGATGAGGAGGCAGAGGATGGTTTGCTTCGGACGAAGAGAAGGAAAAAGGTGCTGTGAAAGCTGAGTTCAAGGTTGAATGCCAACAGCTGAATATGATACATGTCTTTAGGAGTGTCCTTGCGAACTTTGCATCACTGCTGCGCGATACCCGTCAATTGTCCAGGAGCGCCAGCGGCTTTTGGCCGAGCAGCAGGCCACGATTTTGAGTGCATATTCTTCCCCAAAAGGCCCAAATGGACGGACCAAGATCTGCACGGACACCATCAACAACTGATTAACAGGCTAGTTATAGTGGATTGAGAGTAGATGGCACAGACCCCAATGTCGGTGGTTTAAAATGGACCCTCATCTGTTTAGGACATCATGGGGGAACCATGCCATCTAAATGCTCTGAACTCCAGTGTAACCAGGTTTGAACTAAGTCATCTCCCAAGTTTTAAAGCCCGGGCTTTGGACCTTAGGGTTTCAATACTGTACCCTAACCCCCCAAAAAAACCTTAGACTATGTTTGTCCAAATGATTGGGCCCAAGGCCCAGCTTTGAACTCTATTCTCGGAGCCCGCGAGCTGCGCCCGCCCCAGGCGGCCGAAGCGGAGGCCCGGCGACAGGCGCACAAGGCTGAGGCGGTCGGGCGTCGCTGGTGTCGGTGGTGTCGGTGTTGTCTTCGCGTTTGGATTGCGCAGGGCACCGACATCATGGCCATCAGGACGGTCAATGAGAAGAATGAAGAAGCATCAAAACTGTCCAGTGGTGTTTTTCTCAGGTTTTATCCAGACATCATGTTCTTTGGCCACAGGGATCGGAGTGAAGGTTCAAATCGCATGAGACACCATCAGTGAAACAAGACCTATCAGATAGCTGTGGCCAATGACAATGAATAAATGGGTGTTGTCAAGGCCAATCCGATCGAGTCATCGGATGAGATACAAGACCGCGAGATCCGTGAACAGCAGCATGAACTGGAAGGCGACAGCTGGGCCTCCAAATTTAGAAAGTCTTCTCAGCGCTCAATGGAACAATCCGGGAAGTGGAACATGGCCCCTTGGATGAGCATTTCCCAAAGTTGATTTCCATGCGTTTTCCACTTCCATGTTAGTGACTCTGAGTGTATCCTTTTCCATGTTTTGAGAGTGAAGTACTGGGACAAAAAAAAGGCCTGGGACCTTGGATTCGCAAACACCGTGCATGATTTCTCAGCAAAGCTTCACGCGTTGGGTCATTTTAGGGTTTTGCTTTCATGCGGAATCAGCGGTTTTTGGGTCGGCACCGCTCCGACACAGCGTGAACATCGGTCGAAGGGGTGGAAGAAGGGAACCGGAGCCCAGTGGGACTGACGAGCAACTGCAGACAGCCTTTGAGGGTGACAGTCCCCCTTCTTCAACTTGGACTTAAAGGTTGTACGAGTCGTACGGAAGGATTCCAACAGGGCTTGGCTATTTGAAACTGTTTGATGAACATTTGCTCTCCGAAGTTTCGGAACTTCGTCATTTGGTTTGACGGACTGTCGCCCCCTTTTTGGCGCAGTCTCATCACCAGTCTCATCACCTTCAACTGGAGGTTTGCTGGATGCCCAATAAAACTCTGGGACTCAGTCCTTTTGCGTTGTTGTTCCTGGCTTCTTCAGCTTGCAGACGTTCCAAGTCTCCACGAAAGGACCACCCATGCGAGAGCGGAAAACAGGTGGCCCTCATGCGAGAGCGCTTGCAGCGGCAGCAGCAGGATATGGCTGCAGTGAGGTGTGGGTGGCAGCAGTTTCGGTGTGTTTGGTGTCTCACGCCATGTCACCACCATACAGATATATATATATATATACCCATTGGGTTGAGGGGAATTCGAGCTCGCACGTCACTTGGTGACAGTTAGCAAGTAAAGGTCTAATATCAACAAGTATCGCTTTCCTGCCAGCAAATTTAGGGACAGGTCACCTGCGGTTTGGCTTGACACGTGCTCACAATGTGATCACCGTCAGTTCCTGTGTGTGTGTGTCCACCCCTGGAAAAAGGGCTCCTTTCACCATTTCCATC